CCTCGGCCGCACTGTAAGGGGGGCTTACACACCATCACTACCGCCCGTTTAAACGCTCTACAGTTTCGATATTAAAATCTCACACAGCTCTCCACTTCCAAGTCTGTCGTCCAAGTCTCTTCCTTCGGGACCCACTCCGAAACTGAAAAGATCAACGCTCGACCAATTCCTTACTGCGTAATAGCCTCGAAGTTAAGTCTTCTTGAAACCTTGGAATGAAGCTTGTAGCAGTTTTCTTGTGTCTTCATGCTTGTCATGATAGAGCACTTTGATGCCCGAAGTTTCGACCTAAATGAACCCTTGGTAAGAACCTGTAATGGCTCAGAGAGTCCTAGTCCCTTTTCTATTTACAGTCCAATCGGTCAGGATCGTTCTTGGACTGTTGCAGCCATCAGGATCTTGAAACAAAATGGTAGTTTCCCGTAAACCGGCCAACCTCCAGAGACATACAGGGCACAACCTGAGGTGGGGAAAATTTCTGCCTATAAGAAGCACCCTTGAAATTTCATCCCGTGCTACGGCCCCTCTCGCCCCTTCCCCCATCCCACCTCTCATCTTCCTCGATCTTCTACCTTCTTTCCTGCTACCACTTTCCAAAACTGCTGTCTAGCAAGGGAGCGGGGCGCGGATGGTGGCCCCTCCCGTGCTTCGGGCACAACTACGACGATAATATGCAAACAGCTTTATCTTCATCAGAACGATAAGGGTAATGACCGATTAGCCTGCAAATGAAAAAGTCCTTTAAATAATTTTACATCCCTGAAAACGATGATTCAGTCGAAACGTCGGATAACATGCAAACAGCTTCAAACAACCTAGCGAGGCGAAAGATAACGTAATTAGGGCAGACTAATCTTGAGGAGCCCAGAATGGAGGTCATATTTAGGCCTTTGAAGAGGAATGGTTGGGTTGGATTTGCTGATGAGAATCTGTGCTAGTGCGACTTCCCTCCTCTGCCGACATTTTTTTTGATGAAGCGCTGGTAAGGGTTGACAAGTGAGGTGAGCAGATGCTTTGCGCTGGGTTTTTGAATCGGAGGAAGTCGCTCTTGAAATAATCTCGAGAGGTTGTGGCTGAACGACCCGTTTTTCCTTATCTTAGTTACGTGCTCTGCATGGTGTCCAACACCCGCGTGCGATTTAAAAGAATAAAAAAAATGCATTCTTCAGGAGGCACGCTTTCAATTAAGGATGACAGAAAAATTAGAGCCAGTCGACAAAGACGAAAACTCAAAAAAACCCCCCAGGGAGAAGCACGCACATCACGCATGTAGGCTTTTGCATGGATAGAGGCGCTATTAGGCTTGGTGGTAGGTGGGGGGGGGACCAAATGGTGCTCAGCCAAGCTTCTACAGGTCACCTGGTGGAGACGTGCCAATTTCTGCACTCAAATTTGCTCATTTGCACCGTTACCTTCACAAGAGTTCGCAGGTCCAACGGGTCGATAGACATGAACCAGCGGAAGAAGCAGCGAAAGTGCAAGGTGCCAGCTTTCTTCCTCCCCCCCCCTCCTCCTCCTTGAGGCAGTTTACAAGTTGGTACA